ACATAAGCAATAACTATTTTAAGAGTTTAGAAAAGAAGGTCCTATAGTATGCTGAGAATAATATGATCATATCATTGGGAATTAGAAGTGGCATTAAGATCTAACTCAAATTCCTTATATTTTTCAAGGAAGAAACTGAGGTCCAGAAAGTTAGATGTAATGTATGGGACAGTTTCCTTACAACCAGAACTGTGTGAAGCTGGCATTGATTATGTTGGTGGATAATGAATTCTTCATCATTGGAGACATTTAAGTAAAAGCAGAATGATTAGTTGCCTGATGTGTTCCAATCAGGATACTTTTTCCAGGTGTGGGTTGCATTAGTTGACAACTAAGATCCCTTCCAACTCCGAAAATCTGTGATTTTAAAAATCAGAAGAATGGAACAGTAAAGAGAAGAAAAATGGAGTGGGGGGTACTGTGGAATGAGGGAGTAGAATGTTTTACAGAGACAAACATTACATGAGACACATGAACCCATGTTACAGATTTAACTCTAAAAGCCATTGCCAATTCAATAGTCCTCCACTTAATGCCCATACAAACAGTAACACAATTTGAGGTGATCACCATTGTCTATAGTACCAATATCAAGGGAGCCAATTTCTGACCCAGCCACATCAGGATTTTGTTACTTCATAAATTCCAGGGGATAGAAGAGTTCAGGAAAAAAAAAAAAGACAAGTGATTTTGAAAAGAGGGCCTGCTGGCTTCAAAGTAGAGACATTGGGCCAAACACAAAAATACCCATTGCTAGATGTCAAAACATGTGGTTTTACTAGTTGAGGCTTGATAGTTGGTGTCAATGGCTCTGGCTTATAGGATGTGACTTTGAAATTCTTTGACTATGTGAAGAATTTTGATACAGCTAGAATCCCTGTAAAGTGTTTTCCCTTTGGTTAAATCATTTTTATAGACCTTATTAAATATGCATGATTTTATAAAATGTTATCAACTGGAGAAATTGGAGGCCAGAAAGCTACCTAAGCATATTATGGCCACTGGGTGGTCCCATAAATAAGTGTGGGTGGCAAGGCCAGTGAGAGGGCCCCAAATCCCCCTTAACTGACCAGCTGCTACTGGTTTTGAAGAAGATTAGACATAAAATGGGGGAAAGTGTTTAAATAGCAGTCTATGTTTCAGGAACAGCACTGAAATTGCATCCCCTCCTAATTAACTGCTGATGGAAATAACTACTTGGCCTCCATTTAACAATTGTGTAAAAAGAAGTATCTGCTGGCATATATCAAAATGTGACCTATTGGTTCCTGTACTCAGGTACATTATGACACTGGAAATGTGACCTCCCATTTTATCTTTCATTTATGAGACTGAAGTTCATTACTTTAAAACAAAATCAGTGGAAAAGTACAAAAATGTTGAAACTATCTTTTAAAGCAAAATGTTAAAAAATCAATTGAAAATAAAACCTTGTTGCTGTAGAAATATAGTATGAATAGGAGTTTGGAGTATTACTTCTTTTCACTGAACCACTCACAAAGGCTAAAACCGGGGCCAGAGTGAATGACTATTTCATGTGGCTTTGCAGAAAAAAAAAATCCCATTTCAAAGTCTCTTGACATAAACCTTATACATTCCAGACTTCTGAAACTTTCCACCTACTTATATCACTCCCTCTTACACGTATCATTAATCCATCAATAACTCTTGGGATTGTAACAGCTGAATGGAAAAATAGCCAGAGTTCACTGATTTCATAAATCTCAAAGTGCTTGTGATTCTTAAGAATTCTACACATATTTTTATTTGCAGTTTCAAAAATGATTGAAATAATTTAGAAACAGATACTCTTGACTGGTGAGTGATTTAGTCTGGAGTTGGAATTAGAATTCCATATATTTTTCTCCTTTTTGGACAGAGAAGTATTTACTAAAAACAGTTCAGGCACAGGGGGATTACTGCCCCCTCTTTATGTTGACTTTAAACCTGAATATTCAAAAAGAAAGCACATATTAGGGGAAAATATGATTTCATATTTAACCAATAAGGGCCTATATATATGTAAAAAAAAGTTTCCCTAGAATAAAATAGCAATGTTGTAAGGGTGTTAAAAGACCCTTACTGTACTGTTGAACATATTTGGTAGTTTCCATACCTAAGATCATATTACAATTGAGTGGTCATTTTACTAATAGAACCAGGTACAGAAGGAGAAATAAAACAAATGGCTCAAGACTGTCAAACTGAAAATTGAAATTGATTTGAAAATTGAGGGTGATCTTAAATTATTCTAATGAATCATCAGCCTGAATGCCTGAAGGCAGAGAATTCCACCCAATGGGAACAATTAACAATAAATATTCAGTGTCTGGAGAAAATAAATAGAGAGCCACTGAAAGAGAAGAAGGTATTATTTTGCCACCGAGGCAAAAACAAATGAATTTTCCCACACTGGGAAAGGAAAATCTCTGGGTCTCAGAGGCCAAAAGTTTAATGTGCAGTATATGAAGAGAGAAGCAAATTTGTTCTTTGATGCTTAACGGATCCATGATTTTATCAGGGTGGATTCTCCTTTCCCTAAAGCAGACTTAAGCAAATCTGAAACAATTTGTTACCTGATGGCCAAAACTGCTTGTAAGAATTTTCTCTCAAAACTTAACAAGAATGTTCTTGGGAAGACAGACCTTCAACCAGATAGCAATTCTATGGTGCTCTAAGGTTTACGAAGCACATTACAAGTAATCTTTCATTTTATCCTAACAATTATCTCATAAGCCAGGTGCTATAATTACTCTCATTTTGCAGATGAGGAAACGGACCCAGAAAATTTAAGTGACTCTCCCAGGTCTAGCTGTTACAAGTGCCACAGCCAATATTTGAACTCCCGTCTTCCTCCCCGAAGGCCCATTATACAAACAAGTTGCCTTAGAAATGCCTGCAAAATTAAAAAGGAAAGGTAGAAAGAAGTGAGAACAATGCCCAATTTCAAGAACCTGGATCTATTCCAATTACACTTTGGGGAAAAGAGGAATTGGGAGTTAAAAAGGAGGACCTAGGAGGGATGCTTCCACCCAAGACCTCCCCCCTTGTAATTATCCTGCTGTTATTGAAAGAATAGCAAATTTAGAGAGAGAGAGAGAGAGAGAGAGAGAGAGAGAGAGAGAGAGAGAGAGAGAGAGAGAGAGAGAGAAAGAGAGAAAAAAAGAAAGAAAAAACATGGGATCAAGCCCAGAAGCAGCATGGTGCCATGCAAAGAATTTCAGGTTTGTAGCTGTCGGACCTAGGCAGCTAGATGGCAAAATGCATGGCACACTAGACCTGGAATCAGGAAGACCTAAGTTCAAATCCTTCCTCAGATTATTTGATAATTGTGTGGCCCTGGGCAAATCACTTAATTTCTTTCAAGCCTCAGATGTGCCTCATCTGTAAAAAGGGAATAATAGTGTAATCAGCATGTAAGGGTTGTGTCTAAAATGATATAAAACATGAAAAGCACTTTGCAATCCTTGAAGTGCCATAAAAATTCTAGCTTTTTTTTCAAATGATACCCCTGCCATTTGTTATTGTAAATATAGTATGTCCTTGCACAAATCATTTTTCCTTTCTAGTTTTCAGTTTCTTCATCTATAAAGTCAGGGAATTAGGTGGAATGATCTTAAAGTTCCTTCATGACATTAAGTCATAAAGTATGATTTTTAAGTGATTTAGCCTATCTGAGCTACAACTTCCTCATATATAAAAGAAGGCTAATGTATTACCAACCTTACAGGGTCATTTTTATAATCAAATAAGATAATTTTATCAAATCACTTATTAAATTGTACAAAACATAATAAATACATGTCTTCTCAGGCATGCGTTTCTGGTCCACTTGGTTGAAGTTTGTGGTTGCATGGCATTGTATGAACCAAAGGAAACTGATTCCCTATGAAATTCCCAAAGCTCTCTTGTTATAATCAGAATATTCTGATATCAAATGATTCTTCTGTGTTATACCCACTTGTTACTAAGATCCCTGTGCCCATAACACAGATCTATGATTATTTTTATATTTTGTTGTTGTTGCCACTGTTTTGGTGCTTTCAGTCATATCCAACTCTTTGTGACCCCATTTGGGTCATGAGTAAACAGGCACAGAAAATTTTAAGTAACTCACCCAGGTCTCACAGTTACAAGTGCCAGAGGCAAGCTTGAACTCAGGTCTTCCTGAATCCAAGGTCCACGCTACATGCCCTATACCAAAAAGCTGTCTCAGAAATGTGTGCAAAATTTAAAAAGATTCAGTAGAGACAAGTGAGTCAAAAAGGGTTAAGTGACTTGCCCAGGGTTATACATCTGGTGTCTAAGGCCAGATTTGAACTCAAGAGGTTGAGTCTTCCTGACTTCAGGTCCTGCACTCTATCCACTGTACCACCTAGATACCCTATTTTTATGTTGGGTGTATAGAAAAAGATGCCACATGATACAGTGGATTGAGTGCTAGGGTTAGAGTTAGGAAGGACCTAGGTTCAAATACTGCCTCTGATACGTACCAACTATATGCTAATGGACAAGTTACTTAGCCAGTCTAATCCTCATCTGTAAAAAGGGCATGAAACTAATACCTGTAGAAGCTCCTGCACAGGTTTGCTATAATAATTCAATTAGATATTATATGTGAAGTAGTAAACATATGCTGCACATTTTTTCTAAACATAAGCAGTTATAATTGCCACAGTGCTTTCTACTCTGTCTTTTTTCTTATTCTGGTCTCATTTACTTTTTCAACTGGCACATTTATCGTTCACTTTTCAAGCCCCTGGAAATGAGGTCAAATCACCTTTTCACACTGCAAGACCCTCTTGAAGCTTTGTTCATTCTAGAGAAAGCACAATTGATCTTTCCACATTGTTATTTCCCCATAAAAATGAAGAGGCAGCTTGTTTTTTGTGCAGACTTGTGATTTTATTGATTGTAAAGAAAGTCCCTCTGCCTATAACAGATCTGAAATTTGTAGTGTCAGAGAATTGCCTAGGGCACTGAATGATCAAGAGACTTACCCAGGGTCACACAGCTAGATGAGTCAAAGGCAGGACTGGAACCCAGTTTTTCCTGACTAGAAGGCCAATTTTCCACGCACTGCAGCATTCTGTCTCTCAAGAGGAAGCCATACGATACGTAGGAAATCAAACAGGGGAGTATGGGTAATAGTTTCCAACAGAGTCCACTTTATTTTTTTACTGCAGAAATAGCCCCGGATAAGTAAATATTCATGGTTAAAGTAAGAGGAGGTAGTGAAAATATTTAGGTAAAACAATGTCGCTTTGGTATGCAGAAAGAATGCTAAACCTCCCAAGAAAGACTCTCAAACTTTAGAATGAACCAAGACAAAATTATAAAGTTTTCTTGTTGGACAAACTTGTATGTATGTGAACCAAAATCTACACACACTCAAATATATGTATATGCACACATATACACACACATATGTACATATGTGTGTGCACATACATATATACACACAAATATGTGTATATAATATATACACACAAATATATGTGCATTCATATATACATGTATATATAAACACATATATGTATATACATATGTATATACACATACACGGAAATACAGGTGTATTTGTACATATACATAAACACAGATTATGTACATGCATCTGTGTGCATATATCTTTAGGGTAGACAAGTCATATTACCTCTCACTGTCTGAGTTAACTCCCTAAGACTACAAATTACAAAGCAGGTTCCCATCTGCACTGGTTGAAAACAGAAAAAAAAAAAGAGTTTGAGTATTGATAGCTCCTACCATGTGCCAGGCACTGTGCTAATCACTTTCAAATATCTCATTTGATTCTTACAGCCACTCTGGGATGTAGGTACTAATTATTATCCCCATTTTACAACTGAGAAAACTGAGGCAGACCAAAGTTAAGTGTTTTTCCCAAAATCATACAATTAGTGCCTGAGGCTGGATTTAAATTCAGGTCTTCTTGACTAAAATGAAATATTGGCAAAGTGATTATTAGCAGTGCCTGGTACATAGTAGGTGATATAAAAATGCTAGTTATTATTGTTTGTTGTTGTTATCTCCAGCCTCAGTGCTCTTTCCACTTGGCCACCTAGCTTCAAGAAAGTTCTTGATTGAAAATCCCTAATCATGATCTTTCCATCCTTTCTCTCTTCTCTCCTTCCCCCCCCAAAAAAAAAAGAAGAGTAAAGAATGAAAGGCTTTCAACGTTATGTTCCATTTATCATCTCACTTGAGTCCCTCAGCAGTAATAATCAGTTGGGAAGGCATTTTGGCATTATTAGACCTATTTTACAGGTGAGGAAACTGAGACTTAGAGAGATTAAATGACTTGTCCATCATAGTACAGCTAGCATATGCTAATGGTGGGATTTGAAAACTTATATTCCTTACTCCAGGTCCACTGCATTACGCGACAAGATTGAATGAGATGGGTGGTAAACATGAGGTACAAATAAAGATTAATGTGGGTATTTATAGGGAGGGGGAGACAGGACAGTTCAGATAAAGGAACAATTATATCTAGACTGGAAAAAATCAGGTGAAACATTATGAAAATAAAAATATTTGAACTTGGCCTTAGAAGATGGGTAAGATTGATAACTTAAGGGAGAGGGGAGGAAGAGGTGTTCTAACCATTCAGGTGGGAAAAGCCTGAGCCCTCCAATACACACATACGGGAAAGAATGGCTTGGGGAATGTTAGTTAATCTGGTTTGGCTGGAGCATAGAGTATATTTAGGCAAGTATTGGGGAGTAAGACTAGAAAGATAGGTTGTAACCAGAGCAAGGAAGCACACGAATGTCTAACTGGTGAATTTGGTTCTTGTCTTTTCTGACTCTTTCCCTTTACCATCAACTATCTCAACAAAGTAGGATGGACTTCTTGCTCTCACGTCTTCCTTGCCTATACACTCCTCACACCCTTGTAATCAAACTCCAAGACATGCAACATGCAGCCCCACTCTGGAGAGCTGCCCAAACCAGATTCAAATGCAATTGGGAAATATTTAACACAATCAATGAAAATGCTATAAAACATAGATAACATTACATTTTGAATCAAAGTCCAATATGAGGCCTATAGGGATCCTTATGTATTAATTAGTGGCCCCTATTTCTATTTCAGTTTGATATCACTCATCTGACTTATTCTCCCACTGCTTTTCTGAAGATGCTCTTTCAAAAGTCACTGAAGACTTCCTATTTCAAAACTCCATGGATTTTAACAGTCCTTATTTCCTGTGACCTTTCCGTTAACATTGCATGCTTTTAACTGATTCTTGAAATTCTCTCCTTCCTTAGATTCTGAAATACCACACAATGGATAGAGTGTCAGACTTGGGAGTCAGGAAAACCTGAGTACAAATCCAGCCTTGGGTATTTACTAGGTGTGTGATTCTGGGCAAGTCACTTAATCTCTCTGTGCCTCAGTTTCCTCTTCTACAAAACACAGATAATAATAACATTTACCTCCCAAGGTTCTTGTGAGGCTCAAAGGAGGTAATATTTGTAAAGCACTTTGCAAAACTTAAAGCTGCTATAAAAATGTTATTATTATTGTAGGTGATGATGATGTTATCATCATCATTATTATTGTTCTACATGCACCACTGTAATTATTCTCTTTTTATTTGCTTATTCGGCCTTAACCTTAAGACCTCAAATATCCCATTTATCTGCTTTTTTTTTAATACTTTACCTTGCAGATCTCAACCAGTTCCAGAATCCCATTTGCTATTTTTATATGAATAAGACCCAAACTGCTATCTCCATTCCCAATATTTTCCTTGAACTCCAGTCCTGCATTTCAAGCTGCCTTTATATCTTTTTATATCCACATTTTTTTTTTGATATCTCCTTGGCTTTTCAAATTCAGTGTATACAAAACTGAACTCATCATCTTAAATTCCAAACCAAATGCTTTTCCTGGCTTCTCTATTTTTCCTAATGTCCCACTGTTACCCAACTTGAAATTAATGTGTTATGCAATCAGATCATAGTCTGGAAGGGACCTCAGAAACCATTCATCCAGGGTCCTTGATTTTAAAGATGAGGCTAAGGCCCAGAGAGGTTGCAAGTCATACAAGGTCACATGCACGATAAATGTTAAAGGCAAGATTCAAACACAGTTCCCTGAATCCAAATCACTCCAGAAGCATTTTTAGCACTTATAATCAAAATGTATTGAATTAAAGTGCATTGTCATAATTTGATTGGTAAAGGGATTCTACTGAGGACTTTTGAACAGGTCAATCTTGTTGCAGTTAGAGATCAGTCTCATAAGGTTTGGATAGAGAGAAAGCATCTTTTTGTTTTTTGATATCCTTTATGATAAAAGTATTGTCTGTGATCTTTTCTAATCTTTTCTGTTTTTTTTTCAATTTAAGCACCTTTAAAGCTGTGTAATAATAGTAGTAGCTGTGTAATAATAATAATAATAATAGCCAACATTTATATTATATAACACTTACTATGTGCCATGCATTCTGCTAAGGCCTTTACAATTGTTATTCCTTCTAATCTTCATGAAAACCTTGAGAGGTAGGTGCTTTTATTATCCTTATTTTGCAATTGAGGAAGCTGAGGCAGACAGATTTTGCATGACTTGCTCTGGGTCACTCAGGTAGTAAATGTCTTAGGCTAGCTTTGACCTCAGATTTTCCCAACTGTTCTATCCACTGCCACCTAGTGCCGGTAAAAATCAGTTACATTAAATACGCTTTTCTTCTTAATGTTCTTGCTTAGGTCCAGCCACTCTTTCCAACTTTAGCTTTTTAAATGCCACTGACGTTGTCTCACTTCCCATTGAACAAGGTTCAATACTAGTGGTTCCACTCTCATTGATGAGATTAGATCACTATGGAAATGCAAAAAAAAATGTATTTATTTTATTTATATAAACAAATTTTATTTATGTTATATTATGTTTAATTTTATATAAAAAATTTATTTATTTATGCTGTTGTTCTTGAAAGTTGATTTGTTTAGTCTGGCACATAGTAGGTGCTTAATAAATGTTTGTAAAAAGATCTATAGCTAGATATTAATGTTATTGGGATTATCTGTCTTAGCTGGGTTTCACCAACATTTTTACAAGTTTTTTTTTCTCCCCAACTGTTCACTGTTTTGCAAGGTGATGCTAATAATAATCTGTAACTTTCAATAATATCTACCCAGCCTCAGATTCTAGACTGCACTTCATACATCATCCAGCATTCATTGCAGTCATTTCCTTGGCATCCAACTTGCCACTGATTCCTCTGGCCCACCAGACCTCCTGAGACCATTTCTTGGGTGACTTTATCTGTTTAGCTTCGGAATTATCACATCACTCTGGGGCCATATGATTCTGATTGCCTAATTAGCCAGAAAGCCTGTATGTGATCGGTCCACCCTAGCTAGTCAGCCCTAGCCCATGGTTCACATCCTTCAGACCATCAACCACACCCACTTTCCTCTCCTTCCCCCTCCCCTGCTCTCCTCTTGTTATGGAAATAGCAATTAAATCAGCATTGCCATTATTCCTGAATTAGTTTTATCAGTTGATTCCTCTATAGCTCAACTCATTATCTTTGTGATTTCCAAAGCCAAATCATACATTTCCTGGCCATAACTCCCTTAAACAACTTCTTCCTTTACTTGAATGTAAGTTCCTTGAGGTCAAGGATTATTTGTCTTTTTTTTTTATTTGCATCTCGAGGATTGCTAGTGTTTGACACATAGTCATTCTTAATAAATGTCATTCATTCATCTTTGCATCTTCCTTTCTGTCCTGTAGCAAATCGCTTCCTTTTGTATTCAGTTTTGTAATTTTGTACTGAATCCACATTTACCTAATGTTTTAAAATTTACAGAGTTAGTCCTCACATTAATCCTGTTAGGTAGCTACCGCAAATATTCTTATATTAATCTTACTAATTGGAAAACTAAGGCTTAGGGAGCTTAAGAGGCTTTCTTTTTTTTTCTATTCTTTTTTTTTTAAGGCAATTGGGGTTAAGTGACTTGCCTGGGGTCATGCAGCTAGGACATGTCAAGTGTTTGGTCTGAGGCTGGATTTGAACTCAGGTCCTTCTGACTTCAGGGGGGGTGCTCTATTCACTGCTCCACTAGCT